TGCCTGGGGCAGCGGGTCACGAGGCTCCGCCCCGCCGCCTGGCCGCGGGGACGGCACTTTGTTCAGGATGCCGCCTCCTCCTCATTGTGGGGCCGGGGCCGGCGGCGGCCCTTGGGAGAGGCCCGAGGCCGGGGTGCGCGGCGCACGCTGAGACTCGTGCGAGGGGCCGACCCGGCCCGGGGAGCCCCCCGGAAACTTTCTGGCGGGAGGAGAGGCCGCCCGCCCCGGCGCTGCTCCGGGCGATGCGCGTCTGTGCGCGGCGGCCCCGACTGCGGCGCGGACCCCGAACCCCGGAGGACTGACGTGAAGGTGAGTGGCGGGCGCGGGATCTACAGCTTCGCACTTTGCAGGACCGCCCTGGCTGGTCCTGAGGGGCCGGGCGAGCCCCAGGGGAGGAGAGCCTGGTGGCCCTGGGGAGGCTGCGGGCTGCGCTCGTGAGAAGCGCTGGAATAACAGCGGAGATGCGAGTGGCTTCCGGGGCAGGGGTGTGCCCAGCTGTCCCGACAGACTACGTCTGATCTGGAGGTGACTCTCCAGAGGTACCCAGCCTTTCTGAGCCTCAGTTTCCCTGCCTGTGAAACACGAACCCCACTCCCCCAACCTTCTCTCAGTTTCTTTGAAGCAGCGAGTTAACTCTGCTCCCATCTTACCAGGAGCTAGCGGGACAGCCGGGGCAGGTGACCTTGCCGTCACTCCAGAAAATGTTCGCTGGGCCCCAGGATGCGCTAAGGAGCACTCTCTGGCCCTGTCTCCCCATGCTGCCTCCTCTGGCGCCCGCCCAGGGTGTCTGGGAACGAAGAAAGCTTCCCGGAGGAGAGAGGAGGGAGGGGAAAGGAGGGGTTTGGTGAGCAGGATTCGAGATGCTCACCTAAGGGGGAAGGTGCCCGGGCCCTGGGGTCCCTACTAGTCCGCAGGGTCTATGAAAATGGGACATGGGGTGGAGGCTTAGGCAGATCTTCAGAGGGCAGAGGAAGGCAGGAACCGGAGAGGAGTGGGTGGTGGGTGGCAGGGCAGTGTGCTAGGGGAAAGTCCACTCAGCAGAGAGGGCTCTGCAGCATCACCACCACCCCCAACCAAACGCAGGGAAATCAGCTGGTGTGTCAATGGCACTTTGTTAGGACAGTCACAGGGCGCAGCTGGCGCTGGCTGAAGGGAAGCGTTGGATCCCCCCTTGATAACATGCTGTTTATCTGGCTTCCTGTTTCAATGATTGAGACACCATTGGCTCGTTCAAATTCACTGTACAGAAGCCTGTGGCCAGTCTGCTCTGCAAGAGCCCTGGGCTTGCCTGGGTTTTCATCTTGTGGGCGATCTCTTGCCTCCCCTACCTTGGTCCCCTGCACCTCACTTATAATGGGGCAGGAGGACTTCAACGCATAGACAGAGCCTGGCCCCCTTAGGCCAAATGTACATGCGGCTGCGGCTCGCTCATGAATTTTTTAAATCCCCCTTTGAGTTTGTTCAGTGCATCTTTAGATTTACTTTGAAAAGGGGGAGACAGGGAATGCCGCTACTGTGGAGTTTCTCTTCTGGCAGGAGCTATATACTGTATGTGCTTTCTCTGTTGCTTTCTAGGGGAAGTTTTCAGTCAGTTTGTAGTTGCTGGTCTGGCTGAGTGGCCAACTCTCTGGGTGATCAGAGAGCAAATAATTCCTCACCGTTCTGCCGTGGTTTTCACGTTTATAAAGTGGAGCCAGGGAAATAGTTACTGCTGGAAGAATAGAGATGGTTTGTCAGATCTTTGCTCCAGCCTGTCGAGTCCATTTCCTGAGCTCCCCTGCTAAGAGAGAAGCCCCTCATCAGAACTGTTCCAACAATTTATTCAAACTCCCTTAGGGCAGGTCTTATGTTTTGCTTTGTATTTTAGATATATGGGTATTTGTGCACATGCTTTATTTCTCTGTGAATGTCTTCTAACCAAGCACCATATCTGACTACCTGTTATACCCAGCACACAGTAGGTACTTTATAAATGTTTGCCAAATTAGTAAAACTGGCTGGATGTGGCGGCTCATGCCTGTAATCCTAACACTGGGGAGGTTGAGGCAGGAGGGTTGACATGAATTCAAGGCCAGCTTGGGCTACATAGTGAGTTCAATACCAGCCTGACCTACATAGAGAGTCCCTGTCTCAAACAAAACAAAGTGAAAATAAACAAACAAAATAAAACCAAATAAATAAGACTGAAAAAAAATTTTAAGTGCCACCCAGCGGCCTCCTATCTCAAATTTCCATTTATTCATTCTTAGGGAGTTGTTTGGTTTGTGCGCCCCACCCCCCAGAAATGGTCTGTAATGAGGCTGATTGCTGTGATCTGCTGGGATCTGATTTCCCTGGTGAGATAGGAAGGCTGTTTGGCTGTTTGTCCTTCCTTTGCCTAATATGATTCCCACCCCGTGCACCAAAGTCCATATGATCCTCTGCCACCAACTCAGCTTTGGCCCAGTAGAAAAGGAATGGCGCAGAGTAAAAAGGCTCCTGTCCATCTTTTCAAATTTGTCTCTCTTTTCATCTATTTTCAAACAATGTCACTTCCTCCGTCTTTTAAAGTTCTTTTCAATTCTTAAAGGGTTTGTTTATGAAAAACTAGAATATTAAAGTCGAAAGGATCTCCACCCTCCCCACCCCAGCCCTGCCTCCTCCCTTCACAGAGGAGAATCAAGGCGTCCTGCAGGAAAGGCTGGGCTCCTGGCCACACAGCTGTGGAGCTCGCTGCAGAGGCCAGCCTGGAGCGCAGGTCTTCTGGCTCCCTGTCCGTGGCTCATTCCCTTTCAGCAAATTGCCTGCTTGCGCTCAGCTTTCTCTCCCTGGTGTTTGTATCCACAGCTCTCAGCAGATGTTACTTAGCTGTTAGCAAGAGAGAGGAACAGAAAAACAGCAAGGGGTAAGAAAAGCTATTTCTGTGATAGAACCAACTACCAGCTTTTAGTCTCTGGAACACAGAGATCTAAGAAATGTGGCAATTCTTGGCAAACACTTTGTCTTTCTGGTCCTTAGTTACCAAAATACAGACATACATACATACATACATAAATACATACACTTTTAGCTCCTTCTTTGATTTAAAAAAATATCCCACCAACTTTTAAGTGAAAAACACCCCTCCTCAATAAGTAGTTTCCTGGGGCCTCCTCTGTTCCTTCCACCTCCTTGGGAGGCTGACTCAGACCTGATTTCCTCCAAGGGGCCTGGGATTTTGCTTTCCAGCTTCCTGTGACTCTTGCGACGTGAGGGAAGGCAGGATGGCCGAGACCCAGGGCACTCTGATAGGTTCGTGGACGTGGTTCAGCTTCTCACATTTGTCCTGTACTGTCTGCACTACCATCCTCATCAAATCTATTTGCTCTACTTAATTTTAATATGAAATGCACTAATATGCATGAAAAATTAAAGGCATGGATGCATATGCCTCTGCCAAGGACCATTAATAACAAGATGTTTCCACTTCAAAGGACTGCGAGACCATTCTGATGTCCAGTCCTCAAATGCTCTGAAATTTTTCCTCTGTGAAATTGTTTCTTAACTTCCCTTTAGGATTGTCCATTGTTGGTATGCAGAAACACAAATGATTTTTGTATGCTGATCTTGAATAGTTTATTCAAGATCTAGAATAGTTTGTGTGTGGATTATTTGGGGTTTTCCATGTATAGGATCATGTCAGTTGTGAATAGAGATGATTTTTACTTCTTCTTCCAATTAGATGTCCTTCTTATTTCTGTTCTGGCTTTAACTTTCAGTACGGTGTTGAATAGCAGCAGTGAAAGCAGACATCCACACCCTTGTTCCCCATCTGAAGGGGAAGCTTTTGGTCTTTCACCCTTGAGTGTGATGGTAGCTGTGGGCTTTCATAAATGCCCTTTGTCCTGTGGAGGAAATTCCCATCTATCTCTAGTTTTCTAAGTGTTTTTATTGAGAAAAGGCATTGGCTCTTGTCAAATGCTTTTTTAGGCATCACTTGAAATAATCATGTGATTTTTGTTTTTTCCTTCATTTTATTAATGTGGTATATTACACTGATTATTTTTCTTATGTTGAACCACACTTGCATTTCTGGGGTAAGCTATTATATGTTATATTTTTCTTTATAATATATACACACATAATATCATGGTTATCTTCTCTGTCTCTCTTTCTCTCTCTCTTTCTCTCTCTCTCTCTCTCTCATTGTGCTTAGGGCCTTCTCATCTCCAGCCCTTTTAATATTTTTTTCTTGAGACAGTGTCTTGCTAAGTTTCTAACTTGCCTAGTATGAGTTTGAACTGGTGATCCTCCCACCTCAGCCTCCCAGAGTGCTGGGATTATAGGCATGTGCCACTATGCCTGGCTTGTCATGATTATTCTTGATGGTCAACTTGGCTGGCATGAGAGATGCTTAGGAGATTAGTAGAACACACTTGTGAGTGTGTCTGGGTGGGTCATGGCATGGCCATGGGGACTGCATCTGGTCCCTGGCCTCTTCCTCTCTTCTGGCTTTTCCTGCTCTCTCTTCTTCTTGTGTGTCACAAGGTAAGCAGCTTTCCTCTGCTGTACCCTTCTGCCATGAAGTGCTTATCTTAGAACCAGCTAACCATGAACTGAACCTCTGAAACCGTGAGCCACAATAAACCTTTTCTCCTTTAAATTGTGTATATTAAGTACTTTGTCCCAGAAATGGACATTTTAAATACTTTGCCATTTTAAATGCTTTTAGGTCTACCGTGCAGTGGCATTAAACACATTTACACTGTGGTGTAAGCATCGTCACCATTCATCCCCAGAACTTTTTTAATCTTCCCAAATTAAAAAATAACTCCCCATTTTCCTTTTGTTCATCCCCTGGAAATTACCATTCTACTTCCCATGTCTGTAAATTTGTGAATACTTTATAATAACTAGAAAGTCAAGGCTCTAGCCATGCTAGGGTTAAAAGGCCTTATCTTCCTTCTAAACGGTCTCCCCTCCAGACCCTCACATCAAGACATGAATGGCCCAGAACCAGAGGTGAACCAATTCCTGGTCATCCTGAGGCTCAGAGGGCACCAGACGTGGCCTTGGTGAAACCTTCATTTCCTCCAGCCCCAAGGTTCTTCATCTTGATTGTGCATTGGCATCACCTGGGGAGCTTTTCAACATTACTGATTCCTGGGCTCATCTCCTGAGACCCAGCCTCATTTGGTTTGGAATGTGGCTTCAGTATGTGTCATTTAAAAATCTCCCTTGGTAATTCTGATGCACTGTGAAGGTTAGAACCATTCATGGCTGAGCTGATTTACTATCTGGAACCCTTGAATGGTCATAGCTTTTAATGTGCAATTCCCTCCCCATCTGGTCAGTAATGCTGACCCACTTTACATCCCTTCCCTGATTTTAAAATCCATTTGTAAATCAAGTAAATAGCACCTTCTGTGGAATGAACTTTCAGCATTGGAAAGAACCTTACATGTCATGTAGTCACCATTTTCCCACAACTTCCAGGAGAACCAAGTCTCTAAACCTCCTTTCCCGGGATCACCCAGCTCAGACACCTCTGTCGCTGGGGAACCCTAACAACAGTGTGTTGAAATTGTCCCATTCCACATTAGAACATTGCTGTCTTTCAGAGTTCTTTATTGTGTTATTGAATCTGTCATGGGTGTGACTTCCACCCACTGGCAAAAGATACCAAA